AAAGTATCAAAAACCCATGCAATGTTTTTCTTGAGATTCCCAAACTTGAATAGGAATTAGCGGTGTTCGTACCAGTTAGTGCCAGTTTACATTTGAAAATCATCCCATCAATCTCTCAAGAAGACAAAGGTGTTTTTCTAAAGAGAGCAGCAACTTGTGGACTTTGGAGTTAAATTGGTCCTCTAAAGATTGCAACATGCGCTTCTTCCAAAGAAAAAGATTGCAACATGCATTAGATTCGAGGGTCCAAAGGTCGGTTATAGAGCCTACCAGAGTGTTACTTTGCTTCAATGTTGAATAAGATGGACCTAACTCAATTGTGGGTTTATACGGAGGCGTTTTATTAGATCGAAGGAAAATTAGGTTACAATCGGAATGAGTAAAAAAAAAAATTGGTATTCAAAGAGCTAGCTGGAAAAGTATAAATCAGCTAAAGTACAAAAGAGTACAAATAAGTAAAATCCTATTTTTCTACTCATCAAGTGTATGTTTGTTTTCAGATTCTCTCAACGTTTCTTTTTTATAGACTTTCCATATCATGATCTAATGGACCCATTCTTATTTCGTGGGCTGGATCGGTTCGGATCAGGGTTTTTTACTCGGTACGAAATACCCGAAATATTTGATATCTTAAATATCTGAGATTTTTAACCGAATTAGTTTAATTATTCGATATTTTACCTAAAATACCTGATATTTTATCTGAATGACCCCAACTAACGCAACTAGAACCAATTGAGAACTAAATTTTTCCCATGTTTGGTTCTTAGTATTATTATCCGAACTAAATCCAAAATTATTCGAGCCAAACCAAAAATATACCAAGTAATAAATAGATCTTTTAACCTTCTGCTCGAACTACCTATCTGAAATACCCGAACTGAACGAAACATACCCGAAATCCTCAGACTATAATTATCAAGGTAGCTCTTTTATTTTTGATGCCATTTCATGAAAATATTACCATTGATGCAGCACAAGGCATACAACATACTCTGGAATCATGATAACAGCTGTGTGTTTCTGTTGATCTGTAAAGTGGAAACCCTCACTTGAAAATAATAATCCTTTACTTCAAACGAGGGTTATGCACAATTAAAAAACATCCTTAATAAAATGTTTAAAATATAGCCAGAGATAGGGGTGAAGCCAGGGTAGGTACTATGGGGGCCTGTGCACCCATAATATTTTTGTATTATAAAAATTTCCAAAGAGAAAGCATATAAAATCTGCTAGATAAAGTGGAAATGTTATGTTGTGCACCCACAACCACCCAGGTTCGAGTCCTTCATCTCCCTTTTTCCTATTTTATTATAAATGTTGCACCCACAAAATAAATTTGCTGGCTTCACCCCTGGCCAGAGATGTATTAAGGCCTCGATTGGTACACAAGATGATAAAGCAGTAGCAATATACTGTAAAAGCAGTATGTTGAAGAAGCTGTAGGCTTTCATTAAAGTTTTTAATAAAATGATTGATAGAGCATTAGCAGTATACAATTTTAAAATTGTCATAATAGTTAGTATAATAATATATATATTTTAAATAATATATATTTATAATATATATTATATATTTTTATTAAACATAATGAATCTTATTCATTATATAAATTATATTTAAAAATGTAAAAATTATTTTAAAAATATTAAATTATTTTTAGATATATACATATTTTAATATTATTAATTAGATAAATTAATTAATTATAACTTATATATAAATTATTATTATTTATTTGTTGGTAGAGCAGTAAATGATTTATATATAAAATTATCATAAGAAGTTAATATATGTTATACAATTTATTTATTAGTGTCTAAATAATATGTTTTATCGATAATATATTAATATATATTATGTTATGTTTGTTATTAAATATAATGACCGATATATGTAATTATATAAATGATATTATATTTTAAATGTGAAATATTATTCTTTAAAAAAATTAATTATAATTTTTTATTCTTATTTTTCAAAATATAAATTTATATTTAACTATAAAAATATATTTTTATTATTAAACAAAAATAAATTAATTATATATAACTATTTTTAAGTTTTATCTTTTCTATCTGCAAATACTCTCCCAAAAGCTCTAAGAGCATTGAGCAAATAGCATTTGGGGAACATTTGCATTTGGGGAACATTTGCATTTGGTAAATGTTTTTCTAAATGCTTCTTTGATAAATGCTGATTGGATAATAGAGAGCATAATGATTATGCTAATGCTCTAACAATCAAGCCCTAAGTATCAACCAGAATAGCCATCTATATCTATATTCGAACTCTTATCATTAATGGGCTAACGGGCCAAATTTTACTCTATAATCGTTTAAGGTTAGGACCACTTCAAACAAACAGAAGATACTTAAAAAAAGAGTTAAATCCCACTTTCATCATCGTCTTCGTCTCTGCATTTTCCTTCTTCTAACTTCGCTGTCACCTCCCATGACTATTATGAACTACAGATCGGAGGCTGCTATATCCTTCGGTGCCACGAGTTTGATGTCGAAGAGATGTTACGACCTCAGCGTATGCCTGCATGATGCAAAGGAAAATCTGAGTCTCCTTGACGATATACATGAATCGGGAGGTTATGTGGTCGTACCTCCCAGTTTCTTTACCAAGACCAGGTATGTAAGTGTATATCTATATTCTTAGGATGACCGATCAATATTTTTAAGATGATTTATTTGGTTCGGTCATTGGTAGATATATAGATTATTTTTGGATAGTGTGATCGATTGTTAGGATGATTTTTGTGTGTGTGACAATGATTGATGATTAGTGTGGTTCAACCTCTGCGACTATCTTGTCATTTCCCTTTCCGTTTTTCAATTAAACTTACTCCGGCGACGGCATCAAAGGCCTCTGTGGCGTTTTCTATATCCTCGCGTCGTCTCCTCGGGATCTCTCTGGGTGAACCGGTTTGATTGATTCCAGTGAGAGGGATCCATCGATCCTTTCCCGGTCAAATTTTCTGTTTTGGTCCCTAAACTTTGCCATGATCTTCAATTCGACCCAAAACGTTTTAAGTGATCATATTTCTTCAATAATTTAACCCTTATATTTAATTCTTTTGTGATTTTTATCCATAAAAAACTGATTGCGAGTGTTTGGCTCCGCCACCAAGACTTTCGTTCTCTGATCCGCCATAGCCTTCCCGCCTTCCCGATGGTTTGGCTTCCGCCACAACCTGCTCTCTTTCTTCTATCATGTGTGTCTCCTTCTCTCATCTCTGGCGTCTTCTTCTTCTTCTTCTTCTTCTTCTTCTTCTTCTCTTCTCTCTCTTTTTATATTGCATTTGTATACACAATTGCATTTGATAAGGTTTGAAATGCACAATTGGAAACTTCTAGGTAAATTTGCAAAGTCATTTTTGTAAAGATATCTCTAGATTTTGATGAATTTTAGATGTCGGACATCCTCAACTGCAGAACTGACCTTGTGAATTCACCCAAATTTTTTTAATTGTTATTCCAAACCTTGTAAAATGTGATGAAGAATGGAGGAACTAAGTTGCGGATGGAGCATATGCAATGATCTAGAATAATGCTTGGTATGAGTGTGAGTTGCCAAAAGTGAAGAAGTCTAATTATGTATGCAAATGCAATATAAAAACCTAAATGCAATCTAAAATGATCATAATAAGCTGAAATATAAGATCTAAAACTCAACAAAATCAAGAGATATCAAAGGGTTGGGTTATTTAAAATTCGTCATCTTAAAAATAAAGAAAACTAGCAATATTTATTACAGTTAGAAGTAACAATGTTTCTCTGTTTAGAAATGAACAATATTTGCTCAAATTTTATATTTTGAAATTTGAAAAAAATAATCTATATATATAAAGGATACTTTTCCTCCCTCTTGCTAAGCCACGTAAGATATTACATCCCCAGTGAATTTCCACGTGTCTATGTTGAAACGGGCCTCGCATTATAATTTTTTTGGGCCTCAATTTTTTAAAGCCACGGCATGTGTGTGTCTTCTCTCCCGTCGATAGGATTCTCTTCTTTCTTCGAGCAGAGGAGCCGCCATTGATACTCCACTCAACTCCTCTCTTATTGTCGATTCTGTTTCCTCTTTCACCTGTTAATATGGATTTCGTTACTGATTGATTAGAGAATTTAACACTCTCCCACGATCTACCATCAATTCCCTCTTATCAGATTAGAGTTGGTGGAGATGTGTATATATATAGAGGTCAGTTCTTCCTATTCTCAGCATCGTTCCCATTCTTTTCTCACAAATCTAAATCATTTTCAGTGGTATTGGCTATGTCTAGGGTTTTCTTTTCTGATCTGAAGTCTGGTCGTTGCTCCTCAACCGTCGAGGCCGCCTGCTCCGGTTCTGGGAGGCACGGAATCCACGCCGTGGAGGGGAGTTGATGTGGATCAATATGTTAATGGTCGACGTTAATGTATGTGTTCTGTTCATTATAAACTGAGACATCACATATGTTATTCCGACAGCATCCCTCTTAATCTCTGTCTTTTTTAAAAAAAAAATTTTGCAGGCCACCATCATGCAGGCGACCATCAATGCTAGCCATGTGGGAGTTTTCCGACCAAAACTCGCCGTCGGCAGCATGTACTCCCTCTCTGGTTTTGATGTCAGTCGTTGTGGTCCGAATTTCCGGTTAACTAATTCTCCATTGTTGATTCGGTTGGCTGATACGACCGATTTTGATGAGATCACCGACCCGGTTTTCCTTTACCGAAAGAGGGTTTCAAGTTTCGTGATCATTCCGAGCTCATTGGTTTGGCTAGCATCAGTACTCAGCTGCCAGGTAAATAACCTATTTTTAAATACTCTCATGGCCGGACACTGTATTAACTGTCTTCTTCTGGCAGACATTGTTGGTGAGCTAATTGCCGTGAAGAGCACCGTCAGTGATCCTCCTGAGGAAAAAAGAAATCGTGTTATGGCCACCGTCAAATTGTAAAGCTAAGAATTATAATTTTTAGTGGTTTAGTCATAAAACCTGACTGATGAATCTGTATAGCAGCGTAGTCCAGTTTCATGTCTTTAATTCATTTTTTTTTCTTTTTGCTTTTTTGTTTTTTAAACAAAAAAATGTTTTCATACCTTTTCCAGTAATGAAACTATCACTTTGAGTCTCTTCGACGCCGAAGCTGTAGCTTTCCACCACATGCTTGACAATATGCGTATTGATCCAAAAGTCATTGTTGCTACCGCCATCAATTCCAAAATGGTCGGAGGTAATTTGGGAAGATTACATAGATTTTACTTAGAATTTATTTAGGGTATCGTTGACTATTATATGTGAGTTTATAAAGGATATCGTTGACTAATATATGTGATTATATTTCTAGATCGAATGCATTTTAAGATATGGTTTTCATTTTAATCAATTCTTACCGTGATAAGTCTGTGTATTTGAAGATATGTTTTTTTTATTTTAACAGATTCTTACCATGAACAGTCTGTGTATTACCTTTCTGTTGTTTGAATACTTTTTCATTACCTAATAATATGATTGCATAATAAAGTTATTTCAACTCTGTAGGCCGTCTATTCCTCAATGCAACCTCTAGAACACATATATATTTCGACAAGGATACCAGTCCAGGGGAGGCATTCTTCTATCGGTAATCTAAGTGGATACTATAGTAATATTAGGGAACATAAGATGGACTCACATTCCGGTTATTTACTTGCAGTTTTGTGGCTAGAGACACTGGACTCCCACCTGCTGCACCCTTGCTGAAAGGATATGCTAAAGTTGAGACACTAACTATCGCTGAGCTCAATACCTTCATCATCACGGTACCATCACAGGTACTGGACTTGTATGGATGTTCGTTAATATCACATAGCTGTTTCAGTATATGTAAATATCTAATATTGAACGTAGGCTATTGACTTCATATGCACTGGAGAAGTGAGACGAGTTGAAAGTTAACAAACCACATCCTCAACTACATCCTCTCTTTCTTCCCTTTCAAAACACTCTTCGAGGAAGGAGAATTACTTTCTAGGAAATGTTACGTACTGAGCCAGAGGAGATTTATCATAAATGGTTTTTTTGTGGTTGATCTTGGATGGTTCTTTGATACATCGAATTATCGATTAAGTAATCAATCAAAGAGTAATTTTAAGGGGATAAGGGTAAAGTGGATGTCGTTGGATGATATCTACACAAGATCGCATCTAGTTTTCATGTGGTCAGAGACTGTGATTTGTGGTCAGAGATTGTGTAGTCTTTTATAGCGAGGGAAGGAAGGAAATAAAGTTCATGGGCCGGGCTTGGTGGAGAGGAGGAAAGTTAGGGTAGATTTCTGGGTGGAAAGTGTCATGGTCAGAGCTTATGAAGTCAGAGTCTGGCCATATCTACGTCCACACGATCATGCCAACAATTCAATTTTTGTTAACCATGACCACAACATGATTAGAGCTTCTGAGCTTGGATCTTACAGTTCCAAGTTGAAATAAGTAACTTTTAATTATAATTTTTGAATTCTTATTTTTAAAAACATAATCTTTGTTTGTCATTGTGTATGTACAAATGGAGATATATGCAAGAGAATAATTTGGAGATAATGTCCATGGGTTCATTGTGCATTGTTTTGCTAATGGTCATTGTTATGAAGAAGTGTGGCTGAAGGTTGTAAGCAAGGTTGTGGTTAGTCCACAACTTGAAATCGATTTCATCAAGGTTGCTACATGAAAAGCGTATACTAACCACACTTCATCTATCCATAGCTAAACAAACACTTTGACCATAACTCTAGCCACCCCTGACCACACGAATGAGATTGATTGAGGGCTATAGTAGACATTTTACTTTACCTTTTGCTGTACAAAATACACCTCCAACATAAAGTATGTTAGAATGTAAGACATCACCTCCAAAATATGTCAAGTTGTAAAACTCTCCATTATATTGGTGATATTGCTTGTGTATAAGAAGGTGGCTTGTGCGAAACTGACGGCATCCTCATGGCGAGTGAAGACGTGATACTTGAATAGTACATATCAGAGGGATTGTTCGAAGCAAGAACAGTTTTGTCCAAAGCATCCTTGTCAGATCGTTCTCCTGATGTACGTGAAGTCTGTGATAGGCTAGCCTATTGGCATGACCCTCATAATGTCTTTCTCTAAGATCAGATTTTACTTATATGTGTATTTTACTTTTCTCAACTTTTTTTGTGTCACGTGAGGAAGAAAAAGTTGGTACGTAGATATGTGGCAAGCGATGGGCCTAATCTTTCTTTTTCTTTTGTAGGGATTCTAAATAGTAAATACTACATCAAATGCATATCCAACTAGGCAAGTAATTTTTAGGGAGCTAGTCTAGTCTCTTAGACCAAATTACATACTAATCATGGGAGCTTTATCAGTAATGGATGACCAATCCGGTTCTAAAATAAATCAATTTGATTTTATTTCTGTCGTGGAAAAACTAATCAATTTGAAACTGTTTTATTTAATGACATACAAATTGTTTATATTTTGCCAGATGTTGTTACATGCAGGACTGAAAGTGGGTGTGCACTGAACCGAACAGGCTAAAAATTAATGTGTTAAATCTTACGTTTTTGGGGTTAAGTTCAAATAATATAGAGAGTTTTTATTTTCAATTTTCATATGTTATCTCTGTATGTTTGTTAATTTCTGATTTATATATCTAAAATTATATTATATAGAATTGATACATTTAATATTTTCATATTTTATTAGCAATAAGCTTTAAAAGATTCCATCTATAAAGAATTATATACTATAGCATAACATATTCAATAGATATTAATAAAAAATTGTTTTAGCTTTGGTTACGAGTTTTTTCTGGACTGAACTAGCTTTGGTTACGAGTTATGACAATGAAAATGATATACAACTAAAAATACTTGATTGCATAGACCAATTACTAGTGGTTATTACATAGTTGAGTATGAGCATACTGCATACGATCAAATACAAACAAATGGTTTGAGTATGAGCATACTGCATACGATCAAATACAAACAAATGGTCTACTTTTATGTATGAGTATAATCACTTTCTTATTTTAATATGTGGGAGGACTGAAATGGGAAACGTGGTGAACGTAAGAGGGAATGATCATGGTATATAGATGAACGGAGCGGCGCTTAAATCTGAAGAATCTATAAAAACACTTAAGAGTACATTCTCACGAGCGTACACGTGATTCTTATGTGTGTGTGTGGCTCGTGACTTTGCCTCTCTTTCCTTACGTCCCTCCAAGTCTCCTCCTAAAGAAGACAACGAAAAAGGAAAAAGAAATTTTAATCAAAAAAAGAAGGAAAAATAATTGCACAACCCAAAAGCGTTTTAAAGCGTCTCAGAAAAAGAATCATGGGAGCATCTTTTGATTTGTCTCACTAGATATCGGTCTTAACTATAACATTATTGACATACTAAAGTTAAGCGTATGACGAGTTGAGTCCAAATTTTTTCCGAAATCTTGAGAAAAAAAAAAATTAACATTCAATACTTTTGAAGAATATAAATTAAGCATATTAAGCTTCTTTTCTTTAAAGTGTGAACGAATGATTTATAAACATTTTAAATTACATAATAATCAAATTTGAAACTAAAAGTCTAAATACTTATATTTTGAAGGTATCATGTTTTCATATCAAACAAAGTTGACCCCCCCCCCCTCCCCCAATGCAATGCAATTTAACAAAATCCAATGTTATACACTAGCCTACTACTAATTATTTTGATTTAAAGTTATTGAACGGGATTCAAACCAACAAATATTGTGGACACTTTTGTTTTGTTTTCATTTTTTTAAGTTTGATCAGTGTACTTCTTTCTTTTCTCAAAGTCAGTGTATGCATAACAAACAATATAATTTATGTGACTGAACTATAGGATTATTTTTATTATAGTTTTATCCTAATGTAGAATCAGAGAAAATGTGAAGTTGATATCATTTGGTTAAAACAAGACTTGTTTCCGACAAAAACACAAAAGGCAACGAGTCTTCTGAAAACAAACACAAAGCAACGATCACATGCGCGGCTGAAAAAAAAACAATTCTCTTAGAAGTGAACAAAACCGTGACACTATATAAACACTCAACTCTTTCTAAGTTTCACATCATCATCCTATCCATCTCTTCTTTCTTTCTTCTAATACTCTCAATCTTAAATGGAGAGATCATCCTCAATGAAACAACGGAAGAAAGGTCCAGCTCGTGGCAAAGGCGGTCCACAAAACGCTCTTTGTCGATACCGTGGAGTTCGGCAAAGAACATGGGGAAAATGGGTGGCTGAGATCAGAGAGCCTAAAAAGAGGACACGACTCTGGCTTGGTTCTTTTGCTACTGCTGAAGAAGCAGCCATGGCTTATGATGAATCTGCGCTGAAACTATTTGGTCAAGAAGCTTATCTCAACTTACCTCATCTTCAGCAAAGGAAACAAGGGCCTCCTGTGAACAACACGCAGAGGTTTAAATGGGTGCCTTCAAAGAAGTTTATCTCCATGTTTCCTTCACGTAGTGGCATGCTTAACGTGAATGCTCAGCCTAGTCTTCAAACTATCCAGCAAAGACTAGATGAGCTGAGGAAAAATGGACTTCTGTCTCATTCCTATTCTTCTAGCTCATCCTCTACCGAATCGAAAACTAATACTACTAGCCTTCTTGATGAAAAGACAAGCAAGGGAGCAACCTACAAGATGTTGGATGATGATGAGAAGAAACCAGAGATGGACCGGAACGAGTTTCTTCAGCAGATGGGAATCTGGAAGGATAAGAGTCAAGCAGAAGCAAGCGAAGTAGCAGAGTGTCAAGAAGAAACTGGAAGTCCTTTCACAGCTCAGAGTGTTAGCTGGGACACAATGATTGAGCTGCCAGGAAGTGAAACCTCAGCTATGCATTTCGACTGTTTCGGAAGCTATGGTGATTTAGAGGATGATCTAGGCTTTCCTTCCATCTGGAACTTCTGTGGAATCTTAGATGAGTGAAACGCAACTTGCTGTAGATCAGATTCAAAAGTACACGTAGCGTAGTTTTTAGAGTAGTACAGTCTCACGATCTAACACATGATTCTTATGTGTGTTTGTGGCTCATGACTTTGCTCTTTTCTCACGTCCATCCACGTCTGCTCCTAAATAAGACAACCACAAAGAAAGAATAATTACAAAACCCAAAAGCTTTGAAGTTAAGCATCATGACCCACCTTTTATTTTGTTTAACTAGCATACTAACTTATCCAATCACCAGTTTCAGATTATGAAATAATCTATAACCTTCGTATTTGTTTCAAGTTATTCTGTGTTTTTGGAACGTAGTTTATGTATTTTCACCTGAAGAAAGAGGTTGCCCACTATACATAAAAGTAGTGGATCTTGCACTTCAAGGAGCGGTGCAGAACTCATCATAGTCCCAAAGTTCTTCTTCATGCTTGATACTTCTCTCGCTTAATTACACTACAAATTGTTCTCATAATCAACATACTAGCAGCAGAAAACACACATCTAACGTAGTAATCCACATTACATTTCAAAACTCACACTGAGAAAATGGATAGTTGAAGGGTGTAGTATAAAGATATTATGGTTTTATTGACCTTACTGAATTCATTAGTATGAGAAATACACGTATATATACAGAATACAGAAGGTATATTAGTTCTAAATAAATTACAATACTACCCTTTATACATATATACATACTCTGTAGATATACCATTGTTCCATTTAAGGTCGTATGAAAATGAAAATATTACATTCAAGGACAGCTATCAAGTTTATATTGACACTATGAGACACATTAGACTACTCAGACATTTTCTTGTAACAGATGTCTCTTTTTTCTAAAAGTCTAGTTTCTTTTTCTTCTTTTCTAGTTATGTTGTCGGTTAGAAAAACAAGGAAAGTTGTGTTTTAGCGGGAACAAACATAAACCACACATATCTCTTCCAAATAAACGGTCCAGACTAAATCTGTCATATTGATAAGACTTATATTTATCTTTTTTATCAGCCATTGGATTTGGTTAGTACTTTGAATTTTAAGGGTCCAGATTGGAAATTTTTTTATCTACATCCTTTCTATCTTCATCAACCTGTTTTTCTTTTTTCTTCGACGGCCACAAAAAACAATCAAACGTTAATCTCTCACTCAATAGTTCCAAAGATCATTAACCATTCTTAATCCATTAATCAGGCCTCCCAAGCTCAGGTTTGTTTTTCTTTTTTTGCTAGTTGTATGGTCATGTGAAAACTCATTTAAACATGTATTAGCAGTGAAGCAGACACTGCATAATTATCTAAACTTCGATTTGCTATTCTTTTTCTTTTAATTATTAGCATGCAAAATCCCCTTCCTCGCATATACTCTGGTGATTTCCATCAATTTTTAATGTACACCACCACTCATCTTAATGTACACGTTTATTAGTTTTAGTTTTCCACATTAACCATGCTACTAATGTACACGTTTTCAAACTAGGTCACTGTAGATCCTAAAATCCACACGAAGTATTTTGTAGAGATCGAAAGTTCAATCAGGGGAAGACAAAGGATGTGGACAACGATGTTCTTAAACACAACGATATAATCGGACTTCGGTTGACAAAAATGAACTTTTATTGAATGTAGAATTAGTTTACAAGATGATGAACAAGGTTAGAAATAACAACAAGAATTACAAGGAAGCGAACTAGAAATCTAAGGAATGAGGTTGATGTAATTAGTGAATAGTTCTAGAGTTTTTCTCGTGTGTTGAATGTCCTTCCTAGCTCTCTTTTTATAGCTCATTTGTTCTCTAACTGTCTCCGCGATCTCTGGAATCTCATCCTCGAACTCGTATAGTCCAACTCGACGTCGAGTCAACGATCACTCCAGATGGACCTGGGCCTGTTCAAATATATGCCGAAATTGGGTCCAACATTTGTCCCCCAATCTTATTCTTTTTATTAAAAAATTAAGATGGCTTGCTCGGACTCATTCGGTTTAAAGATGGTTTGGCTTTCGCGGCACAGCGACTCGACACGTGTCTGTTCCCTGTCAATGGATCGTTGGCGCGTGCTTGTAACGGCTACTTGTACCGTTTTCGATGAGAAAACCTAATCATTATCTTTTGCTTTAATGACAAAGTCGTTCCTTTATGTCGGCGAATTGCCTTATAAATACAAGAGCTCCTTCTTTTCTTTCGCCAAAGTTTTCTTCTTTCTACACGAAATCTTCTTGCTCCTAGGATTCTATTTTTTTAAGTATAAATGGAAGTAACGTTCACTTTCCCTCTTCCAACGACTAAAGTTGAAGATCTCGAAGCTTTATACTCGTCTTACGGCGTTGATCAGAGCGTTCGGCTCGAGTTGGCTACTACGCTCGAGACCCCTGAGACCGTTCGAGAGGGGTTCTGTGGAGCATACCGCACGTTCTTTGAATCGTGCGGCTTATTCTTCCCGGTTCCAGTCCCAATTCTTGAAATTACAGCAGAATCGGGCATATGCCTTACCCAGATATACAAAGTGCATTTTTATGACAAGAAAACTTATAAAATGCCTTCTAGTGTAACTTACTCTATGAAATTTTACCAAGCTGCTTCTAGATGACGTTAGAGTCACATCCACTGACAATTTTTGATGACTAATCACCAACAACAACGTTAATGCCTTAACAATGATAACTCAATTACGCCTAAATGGGAGAAATGAGGTCCCTGATAAGAATTTATCTCTCAAGTTCTTAAGCCATTTGTATTGCCCAATATCTCATCAAGACATAAATGGGTCTCTGTTATTTACTATTGGACTGACTTTTGTACTTTATGGGAAAATAGATAGTTTACAAGAAAATACAATATAAATGTTACAAATGAAATTAACAAACATGAAAAATAATAATTTTCTTCCGTTTCAAGTTGGATCAATGTAAAATATAATATATTTTCATTAAATAATATATTTTCAAAACTCTTGTGTAAATATAAGATCCCATTAAAATTATAAATTAATAATTAATAATACTATATATATATAACATATATAAAGCTATATATGAACTTCTTTAAAGTCTATATATAGGACTTATAACGTCTATATAAACATGACAAATTAATAACTTTCTTCCGTTTCAAGTTGGATCAATGTAAAATATGATATATTTTGATAAAGTAATATATTTTATAAACTATTATGGAAATATAAGATCCCATTAAAATAGAAATTATTAATTAATAATTACTATATATATAACATATATAAAGCTATTTATGAACTTTTTAAACTCTATATAGAACTTATATAACGTCTATATAAAAATAAATAAAACATTGTATTTTTTCTTTATCTAATTATATATATAACAAATCTCTACCCTATGATATTTATTTATGATTCATAACTTTTTATAAAATAATTTAGTAAAAATAGATGAAATTAAAGTAGATAATAAATTAATAATACCTTAATACATTAATATTATTTAAAAATAATAAATTGTTATTTTTAAATTAATAACTCTATAAGTTAATAAAATGTATTACTCCCATCATTACTAATTTATAGGATTTTAATGTATTTCTAAAAGTTTTCTTCTTTTTCTTCTCTCCAATTTCTCTTTCTGAACTCTCTTATTTCTCTTCTTCCTCATGGATTACTGTTTTCTCTTAACTCACTCTGCTTCTCTCTCTCTCTTAGATAAGGCTTATTGTTTTTACAAATTTTCATGTCTTCTTTCCCATGTGTCGACCATTTTGACCACTTTTAAGCGAAATGATCGCTACCTTGATCTCAAATACAGCCTCGATGTCCGCCATCCGGGTTCGAGCCTTGGCCACAACGAATTTAACATCCTTTCCGTTAGGACGCTGGACCCCCTTCGAAGGATAGTTGGGAATGTGGCTGCCCAGATACCAGAGTTATCAAAAAAAAAAAAAAAAAATACAGCCTCGATTTCCTCAGCGACATTCATGAATCTGCTGGATACATCTTTCAGTCTCCTGCTTTCTTCCACCGATCTCAACTGGTGAGTAATTCCTTGGTTTTTGCTTCCTTTCGTTATTGATATTTGATGGATGAACGGTGATTATAATGTGATTTAATTGATTGATGGTATATCATGGATTTGTGTGTGTGAGATTGGATTTAAAACTCGTTTTCAGATAAACAATTTGGAATTAGCAACATCGTCTCTAGACTGAGAGGTATTAATTATGTGTGCACAATGTTGAAATCTATAAATTATTTTTAACGAAATGTATTATTATTAGTTTATTTATTCAAAATTAAACTTAAAGTTGATAGAAATTTATAAAACAGAAAAAAACAATATTGAAAATGAATCGATGGAGATGTTACCAGAGTTTTTTTTGAAACATAGTATATAAAACAAACAACTAGTATTTTGGGATAACTAGTGTGAGTCAATCGATTGATGTCATGTTATGAATTTGTGTGTGCATGTGTGTCTTGGATTTAGAAATCATTTGCAGACAAGCAATTTGGAATAAGCAACATAACCTCCAGACTTAATAGAATTAGTTGTGTATGCATAGTGTTTGGAATCTATAAATTATCTTTAACAAAATATACATTTTATCAATTAATCTATAAAACAATTAAAATTTTAAGTTAATAGAAATATATAAATTAAAACAGCAATAGAAAAATTGAAAATGAATCAATTGAGATATTTCTAAAGTTTTATTGAACATAGTATCCTTTACATGTTAAAAGTTTCAGTAACCTTATTTTATAAGCATTGAAAGAATATGTCTTCAAGTTAAAGGGTGATATCTTTTGATGTTGATGAGTTTTAGATTTATAGTTTAGCTTACTATGATCATTCTAGATTGTGTTTAGGTCTTTATATTGCATTTGAGTCTTGCACACATTTCGGTTTCGTTTATAATATTTTTGTATCTTGTTCCGGACCGGTGCATTCATATCTGCACCTGAAGTCTTGAACAAGGATCCCAACAGGTACCGGAAAATCACAGAAACGATGTCATGAAGTGTCCTTTTCGTTCCAAATAAAACTAGTCACATTAAACTCGTGATATTGCTTGTGTATGACAAGGTGGCTTGTGCAAAACTGTTGGCATCACTCATGGCGAATGGAGATGTGATCTGGTACATACCAAAGAGATTGCTCCAAGCAAGAACAGTTTTGTCCAAAGCATCCTTGTCAGATCCCTCTCAAGATGTACGTGAAGTCTGTGATAAGCTATTGGCAATGGCATGGCCATAATGTCTTTTTGTCCACTAAGTTCAGATTCTATGTATAATTGTATTTTACTTTTCTCACTTTTTTGTGTCACGTGACGAAGAAAAAATCGGTACGTACTACGTCGTATGTGGGGCAAGCAATGGACCTAATCTTTCTTTTTTTTTGTGTAGGGATTCTAAATAGTAAATACTATGTGAAATGCATGTCCAAGTAATTTTCTTTGTCACTAGTCTGGTCTCTTAGACCTAATTATGGGAGCCGTATCAGTAATGATTTTATCTTTGTCAAGGAAAACTAGCTTTCAAGCAAAACATCAATTTAAAACTGTTTTATCTAATGTCATACAATTTTTTATATATTTTGCTAGAAGTTGTTACATGCAAGACTGAAAGCGAGTGTGCACTGAACTGAACTGGCTAAATGACAATGTGTTAAATCTTAAGTTTTTGGGAGTTAGGTTCAAATAATATAGATTTTTTTTTTTTGAAAAAACTTTTATTTTCGAGTCTTATATGTTTGTTAATTTCTGATTTAAATATCTAAAAGTATATATACGTATATTGAATTGACACTTTTAATATTTTAATATTTTATTAACTATATGCTTTAAGAGTTTCCATTTATAAAGAATTGTATACTATAACATATTCAATAGATAGATACTAATAATGAGACTGTTTTAGCTTGGGTTACGACATTGAAACTGGTATACAACTAAAATACTTTATTGCATAGACCAATTACTGGTGCTTATTCACATAGTTGAGTATATACGATCAAATACAAACAACTGGTCTACTTTTATGTATAACAGTATAAGTATAATCACTTTCTTATTTAAATAAGTAAATGGACTTTAATGGGCAACGTGTGGTGCTTAGATGTGAGTGTAAGTGGGAATGAGCATGGGTAAAGATGAAGGGAGCGGCGAATAAATCTGAAGAATATCTAAAAACACTTAAGAGTACATCCTCACGATCGAACACATGATTCTTATGTGTGTGTATGGCTCGTGACTTTGCCTCTCTTTTCTTACGTCCCTCCAAGTCTCCTCCTAAAGAAGACACCAAAAGGAAAAGAAAATTACAAAACCCAAAAGCTTTAAAGTGTCTCAGAAAAAGAATCATGGGAAAACCTTTTCATTTGTCTCACTAGATATCGCTCTAATTATAATATACTAAAGTTAAACATAAGACCGAGTTGAATCCAAATTTGTTATGAAATCTTGAGAAAAAGACAATGAAAAAATTATTACTTTTTGAAGAATAGAAATTAAGCACATAAAGCTTCTTTTCTTTAAAGTGTGAATGCATGATTTATAAACATTTTCTGAAATATTTTAAATCACCACATAATAATAAAATTGTACAATAAAGTCTAAATATATACTTAACTTAAATGTAACATGTTTTCATATCAAACAAAGTTAAACCAAAAAATAAATTGAATACATGAAATTTAACAAATCCAATTTTATACGAGTTATTTTAATTCAAACCAATAAATATTGTGTAGACTTTTGTTTTCATTTGTTTATAGTTTGATCAGCGTACCTCTTTCTTTTCTATCAAAGTTAGTGTATTCATACCATACATTAGAAATTCTATTCAATTTAATGTGACTGAACTAAATGTATTATTTTCTGTTAAGAGAAAAAGAAAATATTACATTGTAAAGCTTTACCTTCGAAAGTTGATAACAAGATAAGCATTATAAAACTAAGGATTATTTTTCATTATAATTGTAGCCTAATGAAGAATAAGAGAAAAACAAAACTTCCGACAAAAATACAAAAGGCAACGAGTCTTCTGAAAACAAACACAAAGCAACGATCACATGCGCGGGTGAAAAAGAAAAAAATTCTCTTACAAGTGAATAAAACCGTGACACTATATAAACACTCAACTCTTTCTAAGTTTCACATCATCATCGTATCCATCTCTTCTTTCTTTCTTCAAACACTCTCAATCTTAAATGGAGAGATCATCCTCAATGAAACAATGGAAGAAAGGTCCAGCTCGTGGCAAAGGCGGTCCACAAAACGCACTTTGTAGGTACCGTGGAGTTCGGCAAAGAACATGGGGAAAGTGGGTGGCTGAGATCAGAGAGCCCAAGAAGAGGACAAGACTCTGGCTTGGCTCTTTCGCTACTGCTGAAGAAGCAGCCATGGCTTATGATGAATCCGCGCTGAAACTATATGGCCCTGACGCTTATCTCAACTTACCTCATCTTCAGCAACGGAAACAAGGGCCTCCTGTGAACAACACTCAGAGGTTTAAATGGGTGCCTTCAAAGAAGTTTATCTCCATGTTTCCTTCGCGTAGTGGCATGCTTAACGTGAATGCTCAGCCTAGTCTTCAAACTATCCAGCAAAGACTAAATGAGCTCAAGAAAAATGGACTTCTATCTCAATCCTATCCTTCTAGCCCTTCCTCATCAACCGAGTCGAAAACTAATACTACTACTAGCTTTCTTGATGAAAAGACAAGCAACGGAGCAACATACAACATGTTGGATGGTGGCAATGATCAGAAGAAACCAGAGATGGACCTTAACGAGTTTCTTCAGAAAATGGGAATCTTGAAGGATAAGAGTCAAGCAGAAGCAAGCCAAATACCAGAGTGTGATTCCACTCCTCCCTGGAACGAGCAAGAAGAAACTGAAAGTCCTTTTACAGCTCAGAGTGTTAGCTGGGACACGCTCATTGAGCTGCCAGGAAGTGAAACATCAGCTATGTGTTACGACTCCAGCAATCTCGGAAGCTATGATGATTTGGAGGATGATCTAGGCTTCCCTTCCATCTGGAACTTCTCTGGAATCTTAGATGACTGAAAAGCTCCTTACTGTAGATCAGATTCGGTACACGTGTAGTTTAAGTCCAGTGTAGTGTTTTTGAGAGTGTAACATGATAGCTACATGGTAGGAAAGTGATATGCTCTCAGTGCATACTGTGCAGCAATAAAAAGGTGTCATTGTACTTCTGAATATGAACGAGTTGTTCATTTTTTTTCTGAATCCTTCAGCTCAAGAGTTGGTAAAAAGTAGTGAATGTCACAGTCCAAAAAGAATGTTATGTCTTGTGCAAGTAACCATGCAAAAAGCTTACCTAACCTGGTGGTATGAACAGACTAATCTGTAAAACAAGATGGGCCTTCATATAGACAACGACAAAAAAAAAAACAGAATAACATAGACACAGATCACATGATCCATTAGCACCCTACAAAAAGCTTCACCCCCTTGCACTGACCTAAATCTGAACAAAATCTAAGAGGGATATAGGCATTATCCATGTGACCCTAAACATAGTCCTTTTCGTTTCATTCTGATGTCTCTTGGACTAGTTCTAAACAGTATATACAGATCTTGACGTGAAAGGAAATTGAATAAGATCAAGAGATTATTTGCGGACATACCCTAAACCGCCCCCTATTTAGCGGTTTACCCACGATGCCTCCGATTTGTTTGACGAAAATGTCCTTTCCTCTCTCTCACTCTATTCTCGTAGACATGTGGCAGTAGACCCACGCCTGCATCGTAGCAGGCAACTTTCCTCTTAGCAATAAACCATATTTATCACTTAACCGTCCAATTTCAAATTTTAAACAATATTCATCGTTTTTTTTTTCTTTTTATCTATTTTATGTCAGAACACGAAACTGAGTTTTCAGTTTCCTCTTTTTACTTGTACGAAAGAAACTGTAAATCTCAAATGAAAACAACCGTCTAATTCCTCTTTCTCTTTTCGAGTTTATAATGGACGATCTAATACTTCCTCTGTGTATATTCTCATGTGGTGATGAACCAATCGGTGAACGAGTCAACTGGTATCACAGGACTCGGAGAACAGAGTCGCTTATTGAATCTCTAGACGATGAAGAGATGGAGTTCTTTAAAAATTCCCGATTTCTAAGGTTCTTTCTTTAGAAGATAGTCCACCTTATTCTGGTGCTTTCGGTCATTTCATTTTGGTGAAGATGCTGAAGACGAAGAAGTATGAGATATGGTTGGTTTTCGCCGGAAGACCAATAAGAATCTCCCTTAGGGAGTTTACTATTGTTACTGATCTTAACTGCAACAGGATTCCTAATCAGACGCGGAAAAGAAGAAAGAATCCTCTCAAAGAGAAACTCTATTGGGACGAGTTGTTTGGCTCCCTTAAATTGTGTTCTGTGGATACTGTTATTGACATGCTCCCTTAAATCGTGTTCTCACTCTCCAAAGATTGTTCCTGAACATGTCGAATTAATTAGGGAAATTGATGAGTTTCTTGCTTATCCATGGGGGCGGATTTCTTTTTAACTGGTAACTACAACCTTACTTAAGAAGGATGCTCTTGCGCTTGCTCAAGACTCTTTTGCACTAAGAGGTTATGTGGAAGCTATACAACTTGTCATGATTGTTGTTGTCCCTGCTTTGAAAGAAGAAGTCATCATGACTTCCCATGTTGTTGTTGTTGTTGAATCTGAGAGTGATAGCGAGATGCCTGCTGAGGAGGAAGCAGTGGTTGGCGATGACTCTGGAAGTTTAGAGAAGGTTAACTCCTCCGCGAGATTTATCGTTAATTTCAAAAACACCAGGGACCTCAACGCGGAATGACAGGTTTGACATCCATCTACTTCATAAGTGCTTGTTAATATAAATTAGCAGTTACCGGCATTAGTAAGTGCTAACCATTTAGTTAACACCCATAAGAGTAGGTAACACTGTTTCATAATAATGCTTGATGTTGTTCCCATCCATCGATCAGACATGAGAAAACTAAACGCTAGCTTTGCGGAACCCTCAGGCTTATCTCTACCATTGTTAGAATTGTTTCGTATGGACTTTGCGATTAAATCTATAGTTAGTCATTAATGTATCAGTTAACCTTTAGCGTTTGTGTTAACATGTATATGCAGGTGCCTATTCGATCTATTCTTGATGACCCAGAGGAGGAGTGGCATTCTCAGCATTAATTGGGTTGATGAATGCGAGGACCCTGCTGTGGACACGTTGGTGAAGCTCATTAACGATGAGTTTGTTTTCAACAATGATATGTTCCGCGGTAGCATTTCCTCCGGTGACCTTTCAAGACTAAAGGTTGACAAACAAAAAGAAAAGGAGGCCAAGGATAAACATGACAAAGCAACTTTGGGGGAGACATCTGAGTCTGCCGTTATTGGGCAAGGCATGATTGAACCTCTAACAATCTAATATCCGAGAAGTTGCGAGGCGACGTCGTTTCTATGGAGTATAAAAGTGCAGATGCTGTTGAGAAGAAGGTGGCCGCCAGTCTTATTGGAGTTGAGGGGAGACTTAACACTGCTGTTGTTAAGTACATGCAATCATTGGAGAAGGGAGTCATCAGGGCCATCATTGAGTTATTGGCAAAGTCTACCTCATCAATTCCAACTGAACATGATATCCCCCCAAAGGATTTACCAACTCCCACCGGGCAAAAGGACAAGGACAATACGGAAGCATCTCATGCTGGAGATGATCAGGAAACGTCTTCTAAAGGATCAGAATCTAAGGATGAAGACCCTGTCAGGCGGGTTCTAGATGACATTCATGCATCCTCCAACAAAGAGGAGGTAACCTCACTTAAATTCCTTATAAACTGCAAATAATTCTTTTCCCTACTTACACTAATGTTGCTTCCCTTTTACTTTAATTGACGCAGTCCAATACTCAAGAAAACGTCGTTTTACCAAACACAGCAGCACAATTCCCTCCAGACAATGAGAGGACAGAGATTCTGTCTCATGAGGTTACGAATTAATTATTTCATGTTAATTGCTAACAAATGTTTTAGCAACTAACTTTTATCTTAACCGCTAAATTAATATTAACGAGTAACCCTTTTTTTAGTTTCAATATAGCAGGAACCTTTAGCGTTTAGCGTTTGTATCAGTACTTTTAGCGTTTTTGTTAACACGTATATGTAGGTGCCTGTTCGATCTATTCTTGGTGATCCAGAAGAGGAGTGGCATTCTCAGCATGATTTCACTTGGGTTGATGAATGTGAGGACCCTGCTGTGGACACACTGGTGAAGCTCATTAACGATGGGTTTGTTTTCAACAATGATATGTTCCGCAGTGGAATTTCCTCCAGTGACCTTTCAAGACCAAAGGTTGACAAGCAAATAGAAAAGGAAGCCAAGGATAAACATGACAAAGCAACTTTGGGGGAGTGTTGGGCCCAAATATGGCCCGCTAGCTGAGACTAATGGGCTCGAGCGATAAGAGTTGACAATGGACAACTGTAAGCCCATTGGCAATTAATCTTTTGAGAAAAGAGTTAAAAAGAAGCCGGAGGCTGTTTGCTAAGGAAGGGACGTCAACAAAACAGGTCACGGAGGAGAGCTCCGGACCTCATTTGCAAAGAGCTAACGGGAGTAGCTCAGGCTGGTTGCGCAGGACCCGGTCAAAAGGAGGCTGTTGAGAATCCCCCAACTCACGGAGAAAATATCGGAGGCTGGTTAGGATTGTTCAAACGTGGCTGAGAGCTATTTAAGGACGAGGAGGAGATCAGAGAAAGGGGATTCTCTCTCGATTCATTCTTTCTACCATTTATACATATTTTAGTTCACAAAACATTCTCATAAGTCCTTGTAATCTTCAGAATCATCTTTGTTATCATCTCTTTGCCAAAAACATCAATACAATCATAATTCATTCTCTAAGTTCTAACGGGATTCAGTCCACGTTATCTTCTCTCCAATCTAAACCTAACCTAAAATCAGGAAGTGACTTTTATCCCTCACATTTTGGCGCCGTCTGTGGGGACGAGATAATCGAATCCTTCACTCCGTAACTTGAGAATTGATCCATCCAACCAAGCAACGAAACCATCTATCCCCGACCCCGTGATCCAGATCGACGGCTTACCAAACGGAGGAGACTCCAGTCTCCAGGTCCCGGAGCCTCGACACGCCGATCACCGATCTGAGCAACAGCCTCCGGCTAGTGCTCAACCGAACCAGACCACCACTGGGTGGGTCCTCCAGTGGAAACAGCTCTAGGGTAACAGCCCCCGAGAACCCTCAGCGTCAACCCGCTCCGAATCAATGGGAGGCTCAGCTATCTGAGATCCGTCGAATGATGGTGCAGTTAGTAGACAGAGCTCAAGAGAATGAGCGCACGTTGCAACAGCTAACTGCTCAGCAGCAACGATTTGAAGAGCACTGCTCCAGATAGGCAGGGACCTGTTCTCCAGACACCATAGGCTGGAACAGCTCCCGCATTTAAGCCACCTGTAACTAGCGCTATGGGAAATAACGTAGCGACAACCAGCTCTATGCTCGATCGGGTTACTGACCAGAGCACACGCTTGCCACCTCCTCCACCTGTTTTCAGGTCCGGAGAAGGAATATCCTTTCCTTTTGGGGGCAGAACATCGGCTTCGGCTTATCGGACTGGGAATGTAACCCTGAATCTGGACGCTCATTAAAGAGCGGAAGCTGACCCCGCAGCTCACCCCACTGGTGACACTCATCAAAATAACCCAAGAGCTAGTGAGCAATTTAGCCAGGCGGCTGCCTGGAAGTATGACCAAACTCGACTCCGTCAGGAACCTGTTCATCAGGTACCTAATAATGACCTAATTGTCCTTCCTCTAGAGGGACCTAAGGCTATTCGCAGATATATAGAGTAAACTCATGCAGCTCTCCAAAAGTTGAATGCTCAAGTTCACAAAGCGACGAGCTCAGCTCCCGAAATTGAGAGCTTGATTGAGGAAACCCGTGGAACCCCATTCACAGACAGAATCACTAGCTCTTACATAAGAGATACCCGAAAAATTAGGATTCCCGAGTATGATGGGACATCAGATCCTAAGGCTCATTTGA